TGCGTTAGCTTTCGCTGGGACGCGCACTGATGCTGAGTGATCTGTCCCAATTGATCCTCCTTCTCACCAGGAACTTCACTGCTTATAGCATTTTTAAGTACCCAGCCCTGATGGTTTACCTCTTGTTCTATTTAAAGTCGGTGCTATTGACTCGTTCGAGAACACGCTGCTTCGTTCTTTGAAGTCTATTTATAAGAGGTTCCGTTGTATTGAGGTGAGTCGATAGTCCTCCCCATCCTTAAAAAGCGATTGCGCACAATGTTCTCTATCTACAGGCGTGTAAGATCGTTTCCCATCGTTCGTAGCTTCTTATGTCCATCATACTTCACAGACTAACCACAATATGCGTATCTCTGCAGCGAGAAAAACAGGCTAGTTTCCGCCCTGATCGCGGTTGCCTCGATCAAATTTTCACACCTCCAGATCCTCGAGCTCCCCCCCTCTTGTATCAAACACGAACAATTGTTATGTTCCTGGTTATCTGTGCTTCCTCGGATTCTGTCCACAGGGCTTCGTTTGGCACTTTCTTTTGTGGAATGGCATCCCCGGGAAGTTCATTTCCTTACTGCATGCTTTATATAGTATGACTTAGGGTAGAATTAGGGCATTTGGCAATCTTTCGCCTACCTTTGTTATCGCCATTGGGGTTCGACAAGGATACCCTATCTCCTCACTCCTTTTCACTTGTTCCACTTAGGATATATCCTCAAAAACGCTGCAGTGTTTTATGTAAACTGTCAATACTCTGGCCGTTTTTCATGTTCGCAGTGCTGCATTAACAGTAATTTGTTGCTTACAGAACTGGGATATCGTTATCAGCTGGTACTCGTTCTTGGAATCTGACAGTGGGGAAATGTAAACCTGACAATGTTTTGGACCTCTGCAACGAGTTTTCTTCTACTATATTCTCCAGCAGACTGTTCCAAACTGAGTGGAGAACTTGTTTCGTGACCACCAGTGTTCGCAAGTGGAACAGCAGCATCAACTTGGAGAAATCACCGAGATTGTAGCATACGATAGGTCATGATGTCGACCCGCATTAGATGATAAAACAATATGTACATTCCGAGCTACTCGCACCCATTTTCACACGGTAAACTCCGTAAACTGGGAATGAATCTGGTAGTGACATGTTAGATGCAGTCCATCTTCTGTGCTTCGCCTCGTTTGATCGAACGCTAAGCGGGCGATTTGTATTTTGGCATTGACCTTATGATGGTGGGGAATAGGTAAGTGGCAATGTACTCAGACCAGAAGCGGAAGTTGCGTCTGATCGTCCAAAGCATACGCAGTTGGTTTCGATGTAATCTGTTAGGTTTCTTCACGGTTTTCAAGTCGCATTGTAAGAGTACGTCTGGGTTCTTCACAGAGTGTGTTGGCTGGTTCGGCCGGCAGTATCCTTCCTCAGGCTCTTGAAAACCGACTCGACTGGATTGAGTAGGAGACGGACTTGTCCAGGTGACCTGGAGAGGTGGTTGAAGTGTTGCTGAAGTAAGACGCAGTCGTCGAGGTAGATCGTTGATATAGAACGGAAACGAAGTAGGCCCAGCGTCGTGTCTTGAGCTACGTCACTAGTCGATCAGATGGCCGTAGACCTGTATTCTCCAATTTCTTCCAACGAGCAAATCGCGGACCAGTTGATGCAGTGGGCAACCAACACCGCATACTTTCGGCCTTCTAAAGTTCGTGCTCAAGTGAAAGAGGCGGTTGTTCTCACATAACGTGATAAGTCCCTCTCCGAGACCCAATAATGAAGTTCATCTTCGTTTTCAAAATGGCTCACATCAAGTTCGTACCGCCTACCAAGATGATCCTTGCATGGCAGCAGGGGATCGGCCCATGCACTCGAGTCTCCAGGAAGGACAGAGGCAACGGATTTTTCGACTTCACCTAAAGCTGATGGATTACGCGGCGAAAGTCGTCCTTGACCGGTGCACAGGTGCAGTCGGTTGAGCTTAGGCGGTCACAAACAAGTTACGCTTCTTTTCACGATGTCCGTTGACCCTACATGAGCCCTGTAGCCGTACTGTGACAGCTCCCAAACATGCCAAACAGCACTGGACCGATTAGCACTGGCTGTCAATCGTTTTGGGCTATGCGTTGCTCCATCGAAATGCAAAGTACTTCTCCAAGATTGGCAGGGACCCAACCCTGCGCTAACGCTTGGCGGTGATCTGCTAGAAGTCGTTCAGGAATTCAAGTACCTGGGCAGCTATATTAGCACCCGTGGGATTGAAGATGAGGTTACGAACCGTAAAGCAAAAGCTCGAGGTGCTTTTGCCAACCTTCGCCACCTGTGGCGCAGACGCGACATTACTCTCGCCCTGAAGGGCAGAGTTTACAACTCAGCCGTCCGTTCAACTCTGCTATATGGCTGTGAAACCTGGCCCATCAGGTCGAAAGACATAAAGAGGCTCGTCATATTCGATCATCACTGCCTACGCAGCTTAGCTCATGTCTGGTGTGAGCACCGCGTGAGCAATGAGCATGTTCGGCGTCGCGTATTTGGTGCAGGAAGAGCGAGTGAACCGCTCAGCACCATTATATCACGCACCAGGCTCCGATGGCTGGGCCACGTGTTGCACATGCCAGCACACCGACTCCCGCGACGTGCATTGTTTGCGCGTTGTGGGTGCGGTTGGAAGAAGAGGAGGGGAGGCCAAGTGATGACTTGGTCGAGAGAAATGAAAACCTTCACTTCGAAGTTGGTGTCAGTTGGTGCATCCCGACTGCCTGGCTGGGGTCTTAAGGACGGTGAACACGTTTGGTTGGACACACTTGCTGATATGGCTTGGAGCCAGCCCCAATGGCGTTTGTGTTGTGAGTTCTTTGTCCATAACTCTCCTGCTTAGCATCCCCCTCCAATCACGATCTTACTTGATAGGCATAATATGACTCTCTTTTACGGCAGCCAGCTGCTAGTTCTCCGGAACGATGTCCATCCGTTACTGGGGACTCAGCGGGCGTGCCACTGTTTGTTTTCCTTTTCTTGTCTTTTGTATTGCGTCACAATAGCTGAGGTGTTTTCCACCTCCAGCTAACGTGTACTGATGATGATGACTGCACATAGCAGACTCAGCCTGGATCGAATCCAGCAACGCGGCCTTAGCTACATCATTCTGTGCTCTGCCAACACAAGTTAAACCGGTTGTGACTGCTTCTGTGTCACCACAGACGCAGATCATATTTGGTTTCATGATCAGCTGTAGACACCAACCACAGTGCTGGTTTTCTGTAATTTCAACAGGCATCGACAGCGAGGGAGTCCAGAGTGCACGGTAAGTCGGCCTGTTGTCAAACCGGGAATGAGGGCTGCCAACCGGAGGAGTAGCGAGGTCAAAGAATGGCCTCTGGCCGGACTATGGGCATGGGCGAAACGTATCAGAAGTAGATTCAAAGGAACGTGGAGTATCAACGCATGTATGTTTGGCGTCCGATGGAGGTGCATGGGCAGTGTAGGAAGCAGGAGCAGAAGAACGGGACATAGTAGTAGTTGCAGAATCCATGTTTCCAGAGGGCGTTATACTGCTTGGTTGCCAATGCCGAAATGGAGAGTTAGGCTAGGGGCACCATCCCGAGCGATGGAGTGGTCAGTGAATCGCCTTCATTATGAGATGGTGACCGATTAATCAGTTCATGCGCTTCTCATTTGCTCGGTGGTCAAGCAAGGTCCCAACCCTCCTAACGATTTCAGCATCCGGATACTAGAATGCACTACGTCACCAAAGTGAAGCAGTGGGCAGTTACTTTATTTAGTGTTGAGCCGCATCCACTTTTTATAGGGAGAATGCTTCCCTGGCGAGTCATGGAGCATTGGCACCGAACCATGTTCTGGGACGGGATACTTCCAAACCACCTGGCTTGCACCACAGGGAGAGTGTCCAGCACTGGGGCACTACCGGTCGTGTTGAAGTTTGTTACCAACCATCAGACATTTTTCGGACAATAAGTACGCTATCCAATTCGCATTTTTCCCCATCACATGGAACGTTCTCAGAGACCCATAGAGAACACAGTATGAGGCAGTCAAGTGTTTTCAACTATTCATCTACGGGCCCGTACAAATCATATAACGTTAAGATACAAAGAAATGGACTGCGATTGGTTGAGAATTAGGTCAATGGCTTGGCCCATGTCGATTAGGGTTGCATAATCCCACTGACAGAACCGATGTCAGAATTACCGTTACATTGACTGCTTTTCGGCCAGGGTAGACAGAGCGATCGAACAAACGTTTGCGAGGATAGAGGGGATTACCAGAGCTACTGCTGTGGCGAGCACTCTTAGACGACGCAAACATTTCGATTTGTTCTTGGGAACATGAAAAGCCACAGTAAACACATTCGGAAACTTAGCCCTGTGAAATAATTCGAATAAGGGGGACAAAATTCCGCTTGTCAGAACTGCAGTGCCTCCGTTCGCTAACCATTTAAGACTTTATACTTTAATGCGACGTGACAGTTGACGAGCCGTCTGACCTTGACTATCTCTATCTACTAAACATTTACCTACATCTGAACCAATCACCGTTCATTTCTTTGTATTAACCTTATATCACTTTTACCGGCTCTCTAGATGACTCATTGAACACAATTATTTATCTCAGACCGGTGTTCTTTATTTTTCTATTGTTGCCGTAGGCCTTGTCATGGGATCTTGCGATACAGGTATTGAGGTCTCGGTTGGTTTGGGTTATGCAGGTACTGCATCATTCGGGTCCCTCCTCCTTCAGTCATTATTGTAGACATTAGCTCCTTGTAAATGTTTATCAGCAATAAAATTGCGTGTCGCACGTATCTGTGAGTGTTTCTGATTACGTTCGATGAATTTTTAGACACGATAACATTGTATTTGTTAACTGCCATTTTGTATTATTCCACCGAAGTGCTGTTGCAGCTATATGCTCTGTTGTCATCAGTCTAATTATTGCTGACCGCATCTCGCGATGCCGATGCCGTGTCATTTTTAATGTTATTAATACTATTGTTCTTATTATACAGGGTCTTTGTGCGAGGCACTCTCGCAAGGAACAGCAGCGGGAGCAGTCAAAGGGTACTCCAACGAAGCATTTAGTCACCAGGAGTTATCTCACTCCCGTTAAATCTGGGAATCGATCTCCTAGCCCTGCCTCAGATTTCGAACAATCTGGTGCTTTTGTGAATCGAAATCAGAGGTACGCTTCTATTCGGTGCTGTTTGACTCGTATGTGCATTTGCCAGTTGTACCCCTGGAGTGCAAGTGCGGACATCCATTTTATGGAAAACATTTTCGTCTTTTACGATCTAAAACCTTTCGTGTCGTATTTTTCACTGCTTCGCATTAGTTTGTTTCGTGATTGTGGTAACCATGTGAGCAACATCGGTTGGCTCAATATCATTGGTTGGCTTGCTGTCTCATTCCTACCTTACTATTGGTCGTGTGTCTGTCGTTTGACTCTCCGTTTAACAAGGGATTGACTCAGTTGTACTTGGTTAATTTACGAGATACATTTTCTACCTGTCCTGCGGCTTTCTTGATACAACATTGTGGCGTCGCGGAGGCAAAAATGAACCTTTCCATCCAACCCCCATCTCCTTTTTGGACTGATTGCGGCAGCAGACTGACATCGGATGCCTGGTTCCGTTGGAAAACATCCTTCCTAAACTACTTGGATTTAATCAGCGATCTCCCTACTGCTCTTAGTGAGGATAAAAGATTGAAGCTGCTTCGACATTTACTCGGAGATGAGGGACAGCGGCAGTTCGATGATTTGGGTCTCCAGGGATGCAAATCTGTTATAGACGCCTTCAATGCTCTCGATCGTGCATGAAGTTACCAAATGAACGTGTTTACCACGCGATATATTTTCTCCCGAATACACCAAGAAGCAAGCGAACCCTTGAATGATTTCATTGCTCGGCTGAGTCGTGCAGTACGACCGTGTGCCTACTCGTCTATTCCACAGAAAAGTTTGAAGGCTGTATGCTCACTCAGCAACTGACCACTGGAATCGCTGGCAATCGCATACGTGAGGCGCTATTGCAGGAAGACGCTTGCACACTAACGTGGGGTCGATCTTGCGAATTAGCCCGAGTAAAGACGGAAATTTCCTTGCAATCGAAGCAGTTTTGTTCCACCAGCTTAGCTGAAGTGGCGAGAGTACAATCTTTCCGGCAACGTCCGACAGACAAACTATCTTGTTATCGTTGTGGAAGCACGTCCCACAAAGCTAATTTTGCCGGCTGTCCCGCACGCAGCCTCAAATGTAAAAACTGTGGTAAAATTGGACACTATGCCCGCTGTTGTCGATCGCAGGCTGTCGCGCTCATTAAAGAGGATGATACACCGGAATGCCATGTTACCGATCCAACTCAAGACAATATCTATTCAATCACCGCTGACTCCATACTTTCAGGTTGTGTAGCCATATCCGTTGTTGAACCGAAGTTTCCCGCTGCTGACATTCGTACTGTATTCTTCCTTACTGTTAAAGGTACTGTTCCATTGGAAATGGAACTTGGTTCTGCTTCTCCAGTCACTATCGTGCCTTTCCAATTTTATGAACGCTACCTATCACAGCATACTTTACATCCCACCTCACATTCATTCTGGAGTTATAGTGGGAACACACTAACCATATTGGGATTTATTATCGTGCCTTTGCAGTTGCATTCTGTGATTGCCGATGTCGCAGTGTATATTTCTTCGGACAACAGACGACCCTTGCTTGGGAGGAATGCTGTGGTGGCTTTGCACTTTGTACCATCATTCGACCGCATGCTTATCTCTTCCGTCAACGTAGCACACTGGCAGGAACATTATCCGAAGCTCTTCCAGAAGTTCATCGGCCGTATTCCATGTGGTGTGCATCGAATTCAGCTGAAACCGGTCGCCATTGGCCAACCTCGACCCATTCCGCTAGCGAAACGTGACGGTCTCAGCAGCCCTGCAAGCGATGCTAGCAAATGATTTGATTGAACCCATCGACTGCTCTGAGTGGGTGCATCCAATGGTTAGTGTCATGAAAAAAGACGCTACTGTCCTGATATGCAACGATTTGCAGGCCCTGAACAAACAGATCGTCGTAGAGCGCTTTGTTTTGCCATCTAATGATGAACTCACTGTACGTTTAGCTGGTGCAACCGTTTTTTTCAAGCTAGATTTGAAAAGTGCATTTTTCCATATGCCATTGGTCGACGATTCCAAAAACCTAACTGCCTTCCTTGCTCCTGATGGCCTATTTCAGTACAAAGTCTTACCCATGGGTTCGAGTTCCGCACCCGCCGCCTGGCAAAAGTTCATGACTCACACCCTGGCGGGTATCGATGGGCAGGTTGCCTACATGGATGATATTTGTGTTTTCGGTCGCTCACAGGAAGAACATGATGAAAGGCTACACAAAGTCCTCCAGCGCCTCAGTGATTTCAATTTACGTCTGAACGCAGAAAAATGTCTCGTCAATGCACCAGAAATTCAGTTTTTGGGACACGTCATTTCATGCAATGGCATTCGACCAAGTGATGAAAATATCAGGGCCATCTCTGAAGCACCAACACCCAGAAACTTGACAGAACTAAAGTCATTTTTAGGAATGTGCTCTTATAACCTGCACTATCTGCCGGATTTTGCGACTGTGGCAGATCCATTACGACAGCTAACAAAGAAAGGATCGTCGTTCGTTTGGGGCAGCAATCAGCAAAATGCCTTTGACGAACTGAAAAGGAGAGTTGCGTCCGCTCCCTTAGTTGTCATTTTGACGAATCTTGCCGCACCTTTGTGTCCACTGATGCGTCTGATGTCGGTCCCGGAGCTGTCCTCTCACAAATACAAAACGGAGAGGAGAAAGTTATTGCCTGCGCATCACGAAAGCTATCAGATTCCGAACGTCATTATTCAGTTGAGGAAAAAGGAGCCCTTGCATGTGTGTGGGCTTGTGAAAAGTGGCATTTATTTCCGTTCGGTCGTCGTTTTATTCTGCGTACTGATCATTCAGCCCTAACAGCTTTTCTCAGTAATGGATCTAAAGGATATCGCCCAGTGCGAATCGATCGCCGGTATGCCAGGCTCCTTAACTACGATTTCGAAATTATGTACCGGCCAGGTTCGCAAAATCAGATTGCTGACGGCCTATCTCGCTTACCCGTGGGGTTGGAAGATGAAAAAGAGTCTCAGAGAGGTGGTACTAGTTTCCAGTCTCGGAGCTAACCTGTCTGCCTTGACTATCGAAGAACTACGAAGGGAAAATGCTAACGATCCTTTACTGCATGAGATCATTGAATATGTGCAACAGGGCTGGCCCAAGAATAACAAAATCCCCGGTGAGTTCATTTCGTATTAGGCAGTTCGACATGAACTATCAGTAGTAGATGGTTACCTTATGCGCGGTTCGGTGTTTATAGCTCCGCCCCAGTTGATAGCCAAGATAATAGCTTGCGCACATGATGGACATCCAGGTATAGTTCGGACCAAAAATCGAGTGAGACTCTGTTTCTGGTGACCACGAATGGCATCTAGCATTGAGACATTTATATTGATATATATATATATATATATATATATATATATATATATATATATATATATATATATATATATATGGTTGGCGGCATCCAGTTTCGGATTTGCCTGTCACTGTGGCCAGCCACAGGACGCCTGCGCCTACAGAGGGACCACGGATGGCTTGCGCTGCACCACCCACAGCTCCAATCACACACCCCATATCCAGTGTAAACCCGAAGGAATAAGACCGGGAGGCATGTGGATGGGAGCCACGTTTCATCAACGGAGCCGGCCCACACTCCTTCACAGGCAAACACAAGCACGCTGTAGTTGGGAATCAATCGCACACAAGACGGTGGTTGGACCGTAGTCCGCTCCACACTGCATGGAACCACTCTTTGATCCTAACACAGCCACAAGGACCGTGCGCCGCTTCTCCTTCAGCAACGACCAACTGTCTCCTGGAGCCAGTATGAACGATGTAGTGGGTAATAGACAGGTAGGCACCTTGTCAACATGCACATCAAGCGCAGCCACACCGGGGATATCAAACAACAGCCAATCACTTGAGAGAAAGATAACCAAGAAAATAAATCTTGTAATGCATAAGGAAACGGTGACATAAATTTTAAATTAATGCGCATACGAAATAAGTTGTCTACAAAGGAATACGAGGTAAGTTCACGCGGTCAGGTAGTTTATTTTACGGAAATGCTACAAACACGAAAATGTTATCGAAATAACTACAAGTGGTTTAAGCAACGTGTGCAAGTGTATAGAAGAGGGTATAAGTAGGCATTTATATAGGAAAGAAAAGCATTAGGACAAAATTGAAAACCCACCACCTGAAATAAAGTGACTTAGCATGCAAACACGCGGTTAGTAAATCGAATGCAGCGTACCTACAAACGCTGCGCCGGTTCTGCCTACGTTCTCTGCAGGACCCGTCGTCGCTTCGGTAGTGGTCCCGAGTGGCCTCGCTCATGGCTCACTAGGCCAGCCTGACTCAGGCACTCGCGACCGCATGTGCTACAGCACCATGCACTCGATGTCGATGGAATACAACCCATCGGTGCTTGCCGCTTCTTCTCTGCATGTATGAGGTCTTTCTCCCGCACTTTGGCAACTGCCTCCGTGATTAGATCGCGCCATGCACGCCGATCAACCGCCTTCGATTCCCATGACCTGCAATCAAGATTAGAACGTGAGAGGCTCACTTTGATCATGTCCTGGTAAAGTAGCTTCGGTTTCCCTACATACCGCTTCCCAATACTCAGCTGACCGTATAAGAGTTGTTTCGGTATCCGCGTCGAATCCATACGGCTCACATGACCGAGCCACCTCAGATGTCTCAGCAAAAGTATGCAGTCCACTGCATACATTCCATTTCGATGCAACACTTCCGTGTCAGCAACTCTGTCTCCCCATGTGATGCGCAAAATTCGTCGCAAAAGCTGCTGATGGAACCGCTCGAGATATCGCACATCCCGCCGGTACATCGTCCACGTTTCACTGCCGTACAGAAGAACGGACAGCACCATGGATTGGTACACCATCAGCTTCGTGCCAATGGTAAGCTGATGGTTGTTCCACACTCGGTACTCTAGCTTCCCGAATGCCGCCGCTGCCTTCGAGACGCGGATACGCAGATCACTGTGTAGCTGCTGGTCAGTCGACATCACACTCCCAAGGTAG